TGCTCATTCCTTCATTTTTGACAGCTACTTTTAATGTAACGGATAACAAGAACCCCCCCCCCCCCCGCAACCATTTTGGAGCTATTTCAAACTCAGAACACTTCCAGAACTGGCAATACAGCATTGATATGCTTCCAGAAAACTCAAAGTAGTATTTCAAATTGTTTGCCCTTTGCACACCACTAATTTTGACTTCCACTGATGTTTTATAATGGAATTTCAAGTTCTTCAACTTAGCAACGGCAGCAGTAACCTAAAGACTTCTTCCCTCTGTCAATTTCAGCTACTACTTAACAGGAAGATTCTGGAGCAACTTCTTCAGATTGTAGCTACAAAATGCATACAATCTGAGAGCACTTTTAAAAATTGTGAGATTTTAGCCATTTTAATACATGATTTGGGGGTCCATGGATTTTGCCTCAGAGTTTTGCAGACATCTTGGCACAATTTGAGACCTCCTGAAATGCTGTGCCAAGAAAACCAGAAAAAGTACATCGCTTATTTATAAGAAAACAAAGGGAGGAATATTTTAGCTGATTGCCACTGCTGAACAGTGCCTGAAAATTTTCCATTCCTCTTTCAGACAAACACCTAATACTGGATGACAGTCAATAAGCTTGGCCAATTTGTACCAACGTAACAAGGTTAAGGTAGGAATCTGCTAGTTTGGTTGCTACAGCTACACTTGATAGCAAAATCAGTGTATTTAACCCATGCTTAAAATTATTATTAAATCTTTAAAGAAGCATCTCTCTCTCTCTCTCAGCTAGTTCAATGTGCTAACCAATGCTATAATCTATTTTTCATTATTCTTACTCTGTGCCACATATATTTATAGATTTTCAAAGGTCTAATTCTGACGTTTTCCTCCTTGTTAAGATCAAACAGAAGACATTTGAAAATCAATACTCTCTAGTATGCTAATGGCACAACTTTTTGTAGCTAACAAATGTTCCTAAAGCTTGTAATAGGCAAATATGGCTTCTTCCTCACACAGACTTCTGTTTCACTGATATTTATGTCTCAATATCTATAGCTCCTCTCTGTTTTCTTCTCCCCTCTTAACTACTTCTCTTTTGTGGAATGGGCAGTTATGGGCAGGTCACAGAGCTGTATTGATTATTGGTAGGCTTCCAGTAAAATTCAAGGTGCCAGTTTTATTTATTTATTTATTATGTGTATTTCAAATTTATACACCGCCCATCTCACGAGGAAGTGACTCTGGGCAGTTTACAGTAAAAACAACAAATAAATATCAGTTAAA